CCAGCACAAAAGCTCTCCTTGTTGGTCTGCGAAAGCAACACATACGCCAACAGCACCAGCATGAGGACCGATGCCTGTTCAACAAACTCCGTGCCTGCCCCACCCAGGTTATGGCGAGGCACGACACGCCCTTCCAGACAGGAGGGTGGAGATGCGCTTCATGCAAAGCCAAGCTCCCACCCATGCCTGGGCAACATGCTCAACGACTGGCTTCGATTGCCAAGCACCTAGAGCAATGCCAACCGGGAACCACTGCCGCACAGAACGCAAGGCGGCTTTTGCAACAGGCCGGGTTGAGGGTTCCGCTGAACCGGACCCCGCCAACCCTGATTCACACCGCGTGTGTCCTGTTGGAAGAGTCTCAGACTCGGTCCCACAACCTGGCTCGCTTGAGGGACAATAGCAAAAGCAGCGCGGGCGGCGCTGCTACCTGGTGGACGTGCACCACCTGCTCGGCCACTTGGACCCGCTGGAGCAACGCTCACAAAAGCAGAAAAACTTGCGACGCGAGCATGCGGCGCAAAAACCTCACTGCCATTGCCCGCTTGTGGTTTGCTGCTGGCAAGACCATGCGACAGAAAGCGGCGCAGAAGTGGCAACTCACCCCGCATGAGCGCGACGCTCTTCAGAAGCAGCCCAAGCTCCACACTCAGCACGAGGCACTACAGAAGGGTCACCAGATCCAACCGCTACACCTCACACCACGTTCCAAGTGGACATGCAAGCAATGCTGCACCACGGGACGCACAAAGCAGGAAGCCTACAAAGCCATGGCTAACACCACGTGCAACAACAAGACCAGAAAGCAAAACATCATGCATAGGCGATGCAGATGGCGCTCCATCCCCGCCGCCTGGCAAGATGCCCTGACTCAAGCTTGGGATCTTTCTAAGCATGAGCTTCAGCAGCTTCGCGGGGAACATGTCGAACATGTTCTGGGGTGGAAAGCTGACTTAACTGAGGAGGGCGTTGAGCCCAACCCGGGGCCCCAAGCCAATGTCTGGTCATGCAATGCTGGAGGCGTCTCACATGCCTTCAGGCTGGTTGCCAAAGCAGTGGCCGAGAAACCTCTGATCTTTGGCCTGCAGGAGCCAAACCTGACGATGCGCCAAGAGCATCAGATCCGCACTCAACTGCAGCAAGCGGGATATGTTGTATGGATACAACATGGTCGCCAACACCGCGGCAGACACGGAGGTGAATATGGTCGCGGGGGCCTCGTGGTTGCCATGCGTAACAATGTGAAAGCTGTCAAGGTTCACGACTTTCAAGGAGAGGCCGGGAACGTCCTGTGCGTCCACACCCAGCAAGTTGCGTACGCCTATGTCTGGAGACGACGCGACGTGGACAGCCACACAGCAGAGCAGTTCCACCTCGCCGTCCAGCGCACGAGGGACAGTGCTGGCGCAAGGATGTGGATGGCCCTTGGCGACTGGAATATGGAGCCAAACCAAAACATGCATGCGGACTGCGCCACTGTGATACAAGCCATGGCGCATGGACGCCCGATCCCAACCAGATGGCAGGGAAAACACTGCATTGACTACGCTGTGTCAAGCCACGAACAGCACACCTGCATCAGCCTTGATAGCCAAGTCTTCGGAGACCACAAGCTCCTCGGGTCAAACCCACCCCGCTTCTGCAGCAGCCAATGGGTGTTACCGCCAAGGAGTGGGAGGAGCGCCTTGATGCTGCTTGGCCGCACAACGACATACCAGGCAACTCCATAGAGGAAAAGTGGACTGCCTTCAACTTGCGAGCCCAGCAAGCGCATACTGCAGCGCGTCTCCACTTCGGCGCATCAGTCAGATGCAACTTGCACAGGAACAAGGGCAGCAGCCCGGAGCTCACCAACACGGAAGCCAAGCAATACCCTTCGACTGGAGGGGCCAGCCACTACGGGCGCAAGCTCGCCAACACCTTGGGTCGCTTGCGTGAAGTGGTACGGCAACAACGGCACGGCAGTGTCGATAACAAACTTCTGAGCAAAATCCGCAGCTCCAACCTGCTGGCAGTGCGGTCTGCACGGACTTGGCATGAAGCGGCGGACGCTGTCCAAAAGGAGCTGGAACACGTGTGGGCCGAACAAGCCCAGGCAAAAGTGCAGCTCTGGAAACAAGAAGTTAACAGCAGCCAGCGCAAAGCTACCAAGTGGGTTAAGCCCACTCAGCCCCAACTTGACCCTAGCCTTTGGCTAGACGCAAGGACGGCCACGGTTGGGGCCCCCAGAACACACCAAGGTGCAGACGGGCGGCAGAGGCTGCCCAGCTGGTCAGAGATTTCTGGAACCCCTTCTGGCACGCTGAACAGGCCCAACACCAAGCGGCAGCTGAGGCATGGGCCCGGGCACAACCCAACACTGATGGTCTCGAGTGGGAACCGTTGACAGCCGGCGAGCTGAGTCAAGCTGCCAGGAAAAAGCATGGGTCAACGGCAGCTGGGTTGGATGGCTGGACTGGAAGTGAGCTGGCTGCTTGGCCAACCCACGCATGGTGCCAAGTGGCAGCTTTGGCCAATGAATGGTTTACGGCCGGCGAGCTGCCCAGCGTTTTGCGGCACATCCGCCAAATACAGCTGGCCAAGCCGGGGGCAACCACTGGGGACATCACAATGGTGAGCAAACTCCGTCCAATCAGCATACAGAGCGCTATCTGGCGCGTGATAGCCTCGACCATAGCAACACGAGCAAGCACGGCGGCGTGGGTCAGCAGTAAGATCCCACATCACACTTACGGCGGCGTCAAGCACAGGGATGCACTGCAGGCGGCGCTTACGCTCCATCAGCACTGGAAACAGACCAAAGGCATTGCTGTTAGCCTGGACGCGGCCAAAGCATACGACAGCATCCAGCCCGGAACAGCACTTGCCATTCTGAACGCGGCGGGAGCCCCACCGGAACTCACAAGGGTGCTCCACACTCTGTGGAGCCAGCAGGTGAGATGGATCCAGATCGGACATCATCTGGACCCCGTGTCAGCACACGTGCAGCAAGGACTGCCACAGGGTGATGCGCTTGCCCCAATCACCCTGATTCTCATGCTTAGCGCACCCACCTGGGACATAGCCAATGCTGCAAGCAACAGCACTGAACTCACGGTGTTCCTTGATGACAGGAACGCCAGCTGTAAGACTCCGGAGGAAGCGCACGATGTCATCTGCCACTGGGCCGGCTGGATGCAGGTGCTGAGCATGAAAGAGAACAGTGACAAGCAGGAGATCATCTGCAGCAATGCACGGCAGCAGAACAGCCTGCAAGCCATGGGCTACCCAGAAGAGCGCTTCAGGACTGAGGGGCGGATCTTGGGGGTAGACTTCACTAGGCGGGCCAACGCGGCCCGACGAGCCACCGCTGAGCAGCGGGAGGAAAAAACGGCCAGCGTGGCGCCGCGCATCGCCAGATTGCCGGTCTCGCTTGCCATGAAGAGAACGCTTTGGCAGTCATGCGTCGTTAGCGGCGCCACATGGGGGCGGGGGCTTCGTCTCTTCACCAAAGCGGAGGCTCACAAACTGCGGCAGCAACAGCGGTTGGCAATGAACTGGCCGCGGCAGTCTGCCACTACGTTGCTGGGAGTGCTTGAGGGCCACCAGACTGACGCAAGCTTCATGGCTGGCTTTCAGGCCCTAAAAGCCCTGTGGCGCACCTGGAAGCAAGGCAGACTGTCCTGGCTCCGCGCCTGGTGCCGGGCACGTGGCAAAGCCAAGTGAGGCGGTGGCTGCAAAGCCTAGGCTGGCAGGCCGCTGGGCCGTGGCAATGGACACACCCTTCCCAGCCCAGGCTTGCCTTTGCCAGAACTCAGAAGTCCAGCTGGGATCATGCTGTGCGAGAAAGCTGGCGTGAAATGCAGTTCAACACATACCTGCGCACCCGCCAGGACTGACGCGCAGGCACTTCAGCGCGCGGCTTACAGTGCAGCAGCATGCAAAAGGGCCAGAATGTTGTACCAACAACCCTTACCTGACTGGCGGGGGGTTTTGACAGGTGCAGCACTTAGCATGGCCAAGCAACGACGAATGAGAAGCACGGCGGCGGGCACTTGCCCATGGTGCCACCAACACACGCCTACATGGGAACATGTGGCTTGGCAGTGTCCGGACAACAACCACGACCGGCCACCCCGGCCCTGCACTGACCTGCAGGCCCGGCTTGGCTGGCCCGACACAAGCAACAAGCGCTACAATGTACACGTGCTGGAACACTTGGCCAGCACGCGGCGCAGAGTGCGCGAAACCTACGCGCTGCCTGGGGATGGCCACGTCGGCCACATCTAGGCAACCTTTCTGGCGGGCTGAAGGTCGAGAGAGGCCGACGGTCCTGAAATAAACAAAATTGAATTGTTCCGTTCATGAACAAGCAGCAACTGGCGATAGTGTCCGCTTTGGTGGGAGCAGGCGGAAACTTGGGCGCGGTCATTGCCGGCTTCTGCTTCTACCGGCCCATTGATGATCCACTGCTTCCATTCCAGGTCCATGCGGGCTACGTCATGTTTTGGGCCTTGTTGTCCCCTTGCTACTACTGGAGCGAGCACGGCGGCATGTTCCATGGACCAGCTGCGGTGGAGAAGTCTGCGCCCAAGGTGGAAGCAGAGTCGAAGGTGGAAGAGACTGCGGTGTGAACCAGAAATGAGCGTGGGCAGGGACTTTCCGACAGCGTTTTGAGGCTGCCGATGGCCTCTGAGGTGCTGTCAGTGCTTTGTTCCGAAGGACATCGCAGATCAACGGCAAAGGACTTGAGTCCTTAGTCATTCGAAGGCCCTTGTATGGAGTGCAGGGCCTCGCAACAGCTTCAGTTGACAGACGAGTTTTGTGGTGCGAACCCACCACAAGCAGTTGTCATCGAGAGAAAAATGTGCGCACGACCACAAATTATCCTAGGCGGCTGCTCCGGATGTGCTTTGATCCCTGCCGTTCTGCACGACAAGCAAACCCCCTTGTTCAGTTGTTTGTTGTGCACATGAGCTCAAGTACTTGAGTGGCTGGAAAGACGGTTTCTCTGCAGCGAGGCAACCGCGAGTGTGCTGCCTTCCATGATCTGGATACTTTGAAGAAGCGCGAGGAGGAGGCTGGCGGTGCGCCGTGATGAACAACGCTTGGGGGTTGGTCGGATTCGTACGGGTCCAGAGGCAAAAAGGACCGCTCATCGTGATCTCCTTGGCATTGACGACGGCCAGCCACAGAGCGGAGATATCGAGGCGACGGTGTTGGAGTTGAAATGCTTTGGTGGCGAGATATTTTAGAGCCCTAGAATGTCTTAGAAGGGCCGGGGCTGGGGCTGGGGCTGGGGCTGGGGCTGGGGCGAGGTTTTGTGGTTTTCTGTTCCTCAGCATGCCAGTCCGGCACAGCTTAGCGAAGAGCCAGGTCACAGTGCTGGATGGCAGGCGTTGCAAGCTGCAGGGGCCCCGGCTTTCCGTGAGACGGGAAACGGGGCTGACTGGTGGACCGGTGGGGTGCATGCAGCGGGATGCGGTCCCCACGAATCCAGCAGCAGGAGGCTGTGCCGCCGGGACCGCCTCAGCTCGGTGAAGAGGGCCATCGAGACCCAGCTGGCAGTGCCAGCAGGTCACGGAGCTTCGGGGCAAACCCGGAAGCACAGTTGGAGCGTGAAGTGGCTGTGGGTGTCAAAACCAATGGAATCCCATTTTGGGGTAGGTGAACTCACCACCCATTTAAGAACCTATTTTAGCGGGGGATTGGGATGTTCACTGGGGGCACGGGCTTTGGCTTTTGACCCACCGCCGTGACTCTCAGCCGGAGGCAAGCAGCGGCTCCTCTTCCGCGGCCGGGATCTGACGGTTTCTCGGCTCTCTCGGCATTTCTCGGCATTTCGCGAGGTCCCTGGATTTGCACGGCTGAGGCCGCGGAAGATGATCCGTGCTGGGGCACGCTGGGAGTTCCCTTTGGCGAGGCGCGCGGCGGTCGTTTCGGTCGTTTCGGTGACGCTGGACTTCCATGGCTTTTTGAGCCTGACGCACGGCATTTGGGGCACCGCGACGTTGGTGGAAACGGACTTGTGTGGGGAATAGCCGGAGAACGGGGAGTAGTAAGTTTAATGGGAAGGAGATGGATTGGAGACCCATTGAAATTCCTGTTCGGCACTCATGGAAATTCCTCTTGGGGAATCATGGAGCATCCTTTTTCGGAGTCATGGAAGCATGCATTTCTTCTTTGGAGTCACCCAGGCAGCTTGCCCCCTTGGAAGCAAAGAATGCGCGTTTTCAGCTTGGGCCGGGGCAGAAGAGCCAAACGGCGCATGCTTTGCTTTCTTTTCAGTTACCCAATACCGCGCCAGGAAGCCCCCTCAAAGAAGCAATTCATGCCAGCTTTCAGGCCAGACAAGCCGAATTGTGCATGCTTCGCCATGCTATGCTTGCTTGTCTCGCCATTTCTCGCGCCCTTCTGCCGTTGATTTGTCCGGCCAATTTGCGGCACTGGCGTCGGCGTTTCCGATGGCACGGTCTCCGCTGGAAGGCCTTGCAGCTTGTGATCATCATGTACGAAACGAGCTCCGGCTCCAACGTCAGGACTGGGGGCGAGTCAGGGGAAGACGGAAGGATTGGCAGAACCTTTCGGCACATGGATTCCCAGAATGAAATTGTCAAGGGGCGAATTGCATCGTGCGTTTGATCTCATTAAGCATGGGCTTTGTTTTTCTTTGGGTGAAGAGGCATCCGCAGTGTCCGCAGGCGTCTCAGCTTCGATTTGAGTTGGAGACCGACACTTGTGACATTGAGATCAGGGAAGGCTCGGCCTGCATGGCGCACCAGATGGATGCATGCCACACGTTTGCTACAAGCAATAGGTCCAGGGCGTCAAGTCTACCGCACCCAAGACAATCCACCCAATCGAAGAAATGAGGTGGGCTGTGCTTCGCACCTCGCGTGGGGAGGTCACTTGTCATCACCTGAACGGCTCCTGCATCCTCCTGAACCGATTCGGCCGTGTGCTCGACACGGTGGATTTCCAGAAGCGGAGCTGTTCAGGTGTGCAGCACGGAGGACTCAGTCGCCTGAATTCTTTGGGGTGTCAAGAAAGTGTGGGGATTGTCAGCTTTCTGCGCTTAAAATGGGTTCCTAGGATTTACATGTTATTTCGGCCACGAAATCCCGGTTTAGCCAACTCTTCGTGACGTTTGGATGACATTGACTCAAGGACCTTCGTCAAAGCACAGCCCCAAGCAGAGCCTAGAAGTGGACATGCGCATGCTGCCCTCCGATTGCTCTTCTTTGTTCTTCACCCTGAGCGGCTTCGCACCTGGGGGCGTCACACTGGCAGTCTTCCAGGACCGCTCTCCAAATGTTACGGAACGGATTAACAAGGCCTTTGTTGATGAATGGAGGGACGTCCTGTTGACGCTGGTGAATCGGACCTTATTCCGCCAACATCGCCTTCAGCCTTCCAGGACCCCTCGGTGCACTTGAGGGACCGCAGCAGTGCAAAGATCCTGGCCAGCTATACGGCAGATCGATGCAGGACTGGAGAGGCGGGAAACACCGCAGGGTCCTTGATGCAAAGTTCTCGTCGCGATGCAGGCAGTGGTGCTTTGCTGCGCCGTGAGGGACGAGCGCACGAATGAGTGGAGAGTGCAGCAAGTGGGGCGCGGAAGCTCCGGCAACACGCGCCCCGACGTAACTATCGGGCTAGGAGAGGCTTTTCCTGTGACGACGGGGAGGAAATGGACGTGTTGGACCAGCCACAAGTTTGAGCTGCGATTTGAGACGCAGGATTTTCATGCAGTTGAAGCTTGAAGATGAAGGCTATGCTTTTGTCCAAGGAAGGACTACGGCGGGCTTTATCAGACGGTGCGAAGTCTTGTGCCGGGCCCAGCTGTTGAGCTGACTTTGTTCAACATCCAGGGTGGTGGAACTGCAAGAAAGGACGCAAGGTGACCTGGAGGGCACAAGAGGGCACGAGGGAGAGGCAAGGGAAACAGAAACCCTGAAGCTGAGGTCGACAAGATGTGACCCCGATCCCTACTGAGTCTTGCCGAGAACGCCTTGTGGGCAGGGCGGAAATGTTCGAAAGGAGCACTAGTGAGTGCAGTAGCTAGGAGTTTGAGAGTTTGAGTCGACCACTCAGTCCAGGTGAGCTGTGCGACTCCGCGTGCCAGCATTCATTCGTGTTTGGGGGATGTTCCTGCCGTGCATCGCTAGACATGGCCTGTGGCAAAAGCCCCGCCCTGTGGGCCTGATTAGGGATGCATTTGTGTGGGCGCCTCCAAGGGCGGCTTGTGCAAAGACTGGTTCTCTCCAGAACGACAGGAGAAGCGTTTGCTCAAAAAGCGGTGCCAAACGTGTGCTGGCTATGGCGTCCATTTGCGTTGCATGAGCAATGGACCGAGCTCGCAAACCAGTTGGTCCGACAGCGGCACTTGGGCCAGATTGGAGTTCCACATGAATGGCAAGTGAGGTAGGGCATGTAATACCGCCCCTGCCCCAAAGTGCAGGCTGGTCTGCTTGATCTATTTCCTCAATGTAAGTTCAGATTGTAGAAGAACCGCGAAGAGGAGCGAGAGATGCAACAAGAGAAGCAGTCGGCTAGATCAACAAGCATGCCGCCACCAGGTTCTTCCTCTTCTTGTTTAAGCATTACAGAGCCAAGCTTTGCTTGTTGTTAAAACCGTTTTGTGCTTTGTTTCCCAGAGTGAGACGCCAATGAGTGAGAGCAGAAGGAAGCACTTGGACATGCGCCTTGGGTTATGGCCGTGCGCCTCAGGCGCGCACAGACGGGGTGTTCGTTCTGACTTTGAGACTTGGGGCGTCTAGCATCCAGTAGCATCCAGTAGCATCCAGTAGCATCCAGTAGCATCCAGTAGCATCCAGTAGCATCCAGTAGCATCCGGTAGCATCCCGTAGCATCCAGTAGCATCCAGTAGCATCCAGTAGCATCCAGTAGCATCCAGTAGCATCCAGTAACATCCAGTAGCATCCAGTAGCATCCAGTAGCATCCAGTAGCATCCTGTAGCATCCAGTAGCATCCAGTAGCATCCAGTAGCATCCAGTAGCATCCAGTAGCATCCAGTATCATCCAGTAGCATCCAGTAGCATCCAGTAGCATCCAATAGCATCCAGTAGCATCCAGTAACATCCAGTAGCATCCAGTAGCATCCAGTAGCATCCAGTAGCATCCAGTAGCATCCAGTAGCATCCAGTAGCATCCAGTAGCATCCGGTTCCATCCAGTAGCATCCAGTAGCATCCAGTAGCATCCAGTAGCATCCAGTAGCATGCAGTAGCATCCACTAGCATCCACTGTAGCATCCAGTAGCATCCAGTAGCATCCAGTAGCATCCAGTAGCATCCAGTGGCATCCAGTGGCATCTAGCGTCGTTGCGGGGTGTTGTAGGTACTTCGTCCGGACTGCTAGTGACTAACATGTCCAAAAGTCGGCAGACATCCTCACACATGCATTTTGGTGTAAAGGATGTCCGCAAAGGGTCCCCAATTGAATTTCAGACCCGCATGTTCTAGAAAAGTACCCCACGCTGCCTTGTCAGGTGCTGGCTCCGTTGCCATGAGTGGCCGCGGCAGCTGCAGCTCTCACGGGCCACCAGGTGGGCTGGAGCTGGTGGACCGGCAATGGCTCGATTTTTTGTGCTGCTGTGAATCATTGGCCTCGCAGGCGGGCCTTTGTTTTTGCCCCATGAACCTGCATCCGTGCAGGCGAATCACCGTTGGTGTGTTGGGAGCCCAGGTTGGCCCAAGGCGACAGATTTGGAACAGGGACAGACAGGCACACACACACACACACAAGGCTCCTTGCACACACACGCATCGTGCATGACATTCGCCAAATTGACACGCGACCGTCCTCTGCACGGGAGCTTCTGCTGTCCCCGAGCCTGAGGCCCGATCGAGTCAAAGGCCTATACCGAGCGGCCACAGCGCCTTCACAGCCGATTTCCCTGCAGGACAAGGCTCCGGGCCTGAGGTGGCCGATTTCCATTGTGGTGGACAGGTCTGATAGCCTATGTGCAGCTCTTTTTTTTCTGCTCCCTCACGCACTCTGGTATACCATGAAGGGGCCTGTCTATCTTCAAAAAACGACCCCCCCGCCCATGTTCCTGTCATTGCACACGATGTTTCTCCACTCCGTGACAGGTTGAGCATTGCCTCTTGCGGCTGGAGCAGATCTCGTCAGAGAGGCGCGTCACCTTGAGATGGAGAGAGTTCAGAGCAAATTGGTTACGAAGTTGGACGATGTTCCTTGGGGATTTGCCTTATGGCTCGGGAGGTACTCTGGACCATGAGGTTGGGGAAGGAAGGGCGATGGGGCCATGTCTGGCAAATGGTGCAGGGCGGATCCGCTGAAGCCTCGATACCAGCGGTTGCTGAAGGACAGACATTAGCATATTAGCATGAAACCGCATGGAAATGCAGCGGTGGACCTTGGCAGCCCGTGGCTTGCCAGCGGAGGCTTTCGAGGTCCTCAGCCATCTCTTATGGGCGCCCTCACAAATGGTGGACATAGGTCCGCACGAAAATCATATACGCAGGGTCCAATCAATGAAATAACACACAGACAGACACCCATGTTTGGTTCTTTTCCAGTGTTGGCGTCGTTGCGGATTGTTGATGGCATGCTTGGAAGGAGTGGACCATACACTTATAGTTGGGTGAAAGCAGATGGCACACACCACCCCCCCCATTGGAGGAGCGCCCAAACCCCTATTGGCCATTTGGGTAGGTGCGTCAGCTACCTCATTTGATAGGGATTTTTGAGCAATCCCTATTCTTTTTTAAAAGAAGAACACAAGTGTAAACATGTATAAACATATTTGATACGTACACATATACAATCATTTCTGAACACATATATATATATATATACAGTTATTTAAACCCTACAGCCAGCAGTTCATGGGTTTTGGTCGCAGCTCCTTCGGCGGCCGCTGACGGCTTCGGACGGTAGCCCTCAGGAGGTCTACCAGGCGCGGGGGGCGCTGAGCTCGCCGCAGCTGCTGCGGGTGCTGGCGGGAAGCCCAGCGCGAGCCGCCTGGGGACGGCCCCTGAAAGGTGGTTGGTGGACATAACTGGCCATGGGGCAAAATCCAAATCGTACCCCCAGTGAACATCCCAATCCCCACTGAAATAGGTTCTAAAATGGGTGGTGCACCCACCCCAAAGTGGTTTGGAGCTCTGCAAGGGCCAATTCACTGCAAAAGCAGTGCCTTCTCTCAGTTTTGCTTGACATGGTTGGTGGACACAAACATCCCAACCAAATGCTGTGTCCACCATTTCTGGTCCCTGGTTAAATTCGTAGCCATATGTATAGATCGTGTGTCGGTCTTTCTGTTTGTCTATCTATTTGTCTGCCTGCCTGCCTGCCTGCCTGCCTGCCTGCCTACCTACCTGCCAGGAAGGCATGCCTGCCTACCTGCCTGTCTGTTGCATATTGTCGCAGTAAGAACACGGCGTGGATGTTGCTCTCCCCTCAAAGTTGGAATCTGGGCTTCATCCGAGGCCATGCTCTCTCAGCATCCCTTGGTCTTGTACTCGGATGCAGCGAGGCAGGGCCAGTTCAGACGTCGGAGCTACGGGCGTGTCCGAGCCGTTGCCGCCTTTTTTTGGATGGCTTTGAAGGACCGGGGGCTCCTCGGTTTTATGACATAACGATAGGGGACTCTCCAAAAAACAATACCCCCGGAAAAAGATGGAAACGCTGGAAAACGATATGGGACTCTCAAACTAAGTAGCGAAACGGCCGCGAGTAAGCAATTTTGACCGTGCCTCATATGCTGCTTCTTCGGCGGGAGTCGGCGTCCGGGCCGCTGCCGGGTTGCTGGCTCCAGGCCGCTGCTGGAGACGGCCACGCAGCGCTTGGCGGTGGGGGGGGCGGGGGTGGGAGTTGGAGATGTAAGTTATTTGATGGGGAGAATCCGTGCGCAGACAGCTGACAGCTGGGAAGCGTTCCCAAATTGCTTGGAGATAAATCCCCGACAATGATGTCCAAAGTCGAAGGGTTGTAATTTGAAAATCACAGCTTGGAAGTTGCATGAACTCGGGCAGAGCAAGTTGGAGTGAGTCGACCAGTCAAGATCGAGTCTGGGGTCGTTTTGGGATAGTTCTTGCCGCTTGGATGGTAGGAACTACTGAGTAAGCCGTGCCCTGCAAGGCAAGCATTTCTGAAGTCTAAGGTTGTTGCAATGAGCTCTTCCGCTTGAAGGCCGAAAGTAGGGTTGCGCATTGCTCCTCCGATGTCCAACTTCGCAGGTTGCCAAGTTGGAGAACCCGAGCGCTAGCCACTCAGCTGCATGGCAATTGGAAGAGATCGGCGTTTTTCGCCTGCGCTGGGCACGGGTTGTGCTTCGAGTTGCGCCTGAGGCCAGCTTGCTGGCGCCTGCCTCTCCTTGGCTTTCATCGCCGCAAGCAAGCCGGCGGGGCTCGGGCGGAGGTGTTCGCAGGCTTTTGTGAGCACAGCTGAGTCACAATCGAAACCTGGGTACTGGACATGTAGTAAGGAGACAGTTCCAGCTATAAATGGGTGCGGATATCCGCCTTTTCAGTTCTTGAAGCCTGGTTCTGGGATCGAACATGTTTAATACCAAGTTTCGACCATGACTCAGCTGGCATTTTGGGGCCTTGCCAAATCCTGGCTCAGCAGGGATGGTAGAGAACATGAATCTGGCTGCAAACAACCCAACAGCTTCAGCTGTGTTGAGATGATGCCATCATGCCTGAAGTTTCCAGGTGACAACTCACAGGTCAAGCGGGACATATGCTTGTCCATTGCGATTATCCGGATTCTCTGTATGTTCACAGGGTCTCGGTTGATTGTGGCCGGCAGGATTTGATACAAGATGCCATACTGTAGGTCCTAGGTTGTTGGATGTATTAATGAGGTGTGGTCATCGCTGCTGACCATGGGGTGGGGGGGGTTGATGACATGCACTGGCCGCAAACTCCTCGATGACATCCCACTGTGCGAACGAGTGCAGGATATCGATCATGTCTGCTCTTGATGCTTGGGTCCCCAAATGAGTCGCTGTTGTGCGTGTACATATGCAATGCATCGACATACACATGGAGTTGTGTGTACTATTGTAAACAAGTACCAGCGGCTATGGTCCTTTTTTGAACCGCCGGGTGGTACACAAAAATGACAGGGTCGTCTTTCTGGCACGCTCCAAATGAACAGACAAGCTGCGCCGCATGTAAGCTCACCCTCTGCGATGTAAGCTTCGCATGCGAACCCCACAGTTTGGACAATTCGGGATTTGGGGCCCCAAAAATGCCGAACCCGGGTCAAAATGAAACCACCAGGGACAGATGTTACTCCGCGTGTCCATTTGAGTTCCACAATCCCGGGTAGATGAAGGTTAAGGGAATTCTCCCAACCTTCTTTTTTAGCTGCGGAGATCCGCCCTTGATGAATTCTTGAAGCATGGTTCCGGGATTACGAGCATTTTGCTACAAGGGGTTTGGAGCGAGCGACTCATCGAATCGCGCCGCGAGTCGTCGCCTTCGAGGCCCTGGAGCGAGAGCCCCAGAAGGCCGCGCTGCGGCTGCTGCTGCCCAGAGCGCTGGAGGCGAGAACTCGGGCGCTTTTGGACAGGGACACCAAGGTGAAAGACATCGGTTCGAAGGTCCAAATCCCTATTTCCCACGGAGTTTTTTTTTAAAAGATGTTTTTTTCTTGTCATCCTATTTTCACACATATTTTCATTGTGGAGTCATTTTTGTCCGGTGTTTCTTTTTCTATCTTCCTATCTTGACACATAGCCGGCCTGGGAATTGAAGGAACGAATCGCAAGACATGCAGCCGGTCGCCTGCAAATTCCCATGGGATAGCCCAGCGTACTGAGGCCAAGATAATGGCAGAGTTGCGACATTCTTTGTGCTTTTCGGGCAGGTCAAAACATGATCCGTCGTCGGAGCACAAGGAAGGAACCATTGCCTGCCTGTTTTACAGAGCTCTTGGGAGCTGTTGTGATTGTCGAATTTGGTGCATCTCTGAGTCAAAATCAACTTATCACGCCTGAAGTTGCACTCCGGCTGCGTTTGCTCAGGCGCAGCTGTCGCCTTCCACATCACCTGCTGGGTTCCTCACGCAGCCAGATACCTGGGTGATTCGAACCAGCCAGGCAACCGGCGCGCTCGCGCGCTCGCGCGGCTGCATGCAGATGTGCCAACATGAATGGCTCGAGCTGCGAACAGAACGACGGTGGACTTTTTGAGTCCACTTCTTGCGCAGATGCTTGAGCTCCTTGGGCCTTCGCGCTTGCTTCGGTGCCTCCCTCGATGCAGCTATGCATCCCGGGGCAGGCGCAATCTCCGAGGGCTGGCGAGCGCAGCTGCGAACCCAGAACGTATGGGTACGTGCGCTGAGCTGGGTTGTGGGCCTTCGGCTCTATTTGGACATTCCAAATCTGGCGATGTACTGGGTCTCACCAACGAGAAGAAAACTTTGTCGGGCGATGTGAAGCCTCCAATTCTTGTGCCTGGAGATGAATTCGCAACAAACTTGCAATCTGCAGAGCACATGTTGAGTGAAGGTAGATTTGGAGAAGCTTGGGGTTTCAGCACAAGAGCACTTCTAGTGCACAGTTCAGGTCGCGGTCGTCGCGTCAAGCCTTGGGAACGTGCCATGTGCTATCTTGTCAGGGCTGAAGCGTTGTTGGACATGGGTGCTCCTAGAAGAGCTTTGACCGAACTCCACCCAGCCAAGGAACTCTTGGAACGAGGGAGGGAGGGATGGCCTACGGAAGTGTTGAAACGTATTGAGGATGCAGATGCGCGTTACCATGCTCGGAAGGACGAGAATGACCAGTTGCGCATCGAAAAAGAGAACGCCAAAGTGCCGGTCACAGTCATTACGGGCTTTTTAGGTAGCGGGAAGACCACTCTGTTGAACAGGATTTTGCGCGAACAGCATGGCAAGCGCATTGCGGTGATTGAGAATGAGTTTGGCGAGGTGGGAATTGACTCCATGCTGGTGGAGCAAGCCGAACGAACGACAGAGACGATTGTTGAGATGAACAACGGTTGTATTTGCTGTACTTTGCGTGGCGATTTCATCGAAGGCATGCAGAAGGTGCTGAAAGACGTGCAAGCTCGAGGCAGTCACCTGGACAATGTTTTCATCGAGACAACTGGCTTGGCGGATCCTTCGCCAATTGCTTCAACCTTCTTCTTGGATCCTTTCATGCAGGAGAACTACCGTCTAGATTCCATCCTCGGAGTCTGTGATGCCAAGCACCTGTTGTCGCAGCTGGAGGCCACCAGGGAGAAGTCCTGCGTCAACGAGGCCTCCGAGCAGGTGGCGTTTTCGGATCGCCTGCTGCTGACCAAGACCGACCTCTGCACGGAGGCGGAGATCGATGGAGTGCTGCGGCATCTCAAACATCTGAACCCCTTTGCGCAGGTGCTACCTATGAACCTGAAAGATGTGGAGCAGCCACTCCCCATGGACAAGTTGTGTGATGTCAGAGCCTTTTCGTTGGACAAAGCTCTGGAGTTTGATTCCACTTTCTTGGAGGAAGATGACCACACGCACGACTCCAGCATTCAAGCCTTGGGTGTCAAATTGCGTGGTGCACTTCACCAGGAGAAGCTCAACCTCTTCTTTGCCGAGGTCTTGAAACGTTATCCGAAGGAAATGTATCGAATGAAAGGGATCTTGGATGTGAAGGGCATCTCCGAGCGCTACATTTTTCATGCCGTGAATTGTCACTTTGGTGGGATGCCGCAAGGCGAATGGCCATCGCCAGCTCGCGAGAGCAAGGCAGTCTTCATTGGCAAGGGCATTGATCACGCTTGGCTGGTTGAAGGTCTTAGACAATGTTTCGTCGATCGCACAGCGGGCTTCTTGGAGAGCAACGTGAAGGCTGCCCATGCCTGAAGTTCACCGTCCTTGTGTTTCACATTTCATGTACAAACATATTTTAGATGTATGATGTCACGATGACAATGATGATGGACCGTCGCGCACAGGACGGGGTCGCGGGGGCATCTTCTTGTAGTTTCAGGTCCTGCGGCTCCTGTTTGCTCACTGAGGGGTGTCTTTCCAGGCCGCAAGTAGCGTCAGCCAAGAGGGGAAAAGAAGAGATGCACCAAGACATGACTTAGGGAAGCGCTTGCGCATGTGTTGATCACGGGGGCTGGTGGGAGCGGGGGGGAGAGGGTTTGGGGGCTTAATAAGGGCTTATTTGGGCTCCCTCCCACTGAGTTGAAGCAGTGAAGCGACCCTGGCGTTCCGTAGTGATTATTTGGACCAGATGCAGGTTGGTAATGCTGGGCATTGATGGATTCTGTTGTTCGGGGACCGCACATGGGTGGTTTCGTCTTCAATCCACAGAAAAGAGTAGCCTGAACAAAAACAGACCCAGAGGATAAGAGCCGGGATTGAATGGTTGGCGAGTCATCTCTTTCTTGTTGGACAAAAGACTTTAGGATCCACAATTCAAGGATTTCTTCGTTGCCCAGCCCATCCCATTCTCTTCGCTCATGCATTGGGATCTTGGATGACGAGCGAAGTGAGGAATGGAAAGGTTCTAATGGTAAACCTCTCATCATCTCGCTTCTCCGGGTTCTTATTGTAATACCAGCGAGAATAACCCGGACACATCCCCAAACCCAGCCAAGAGAAATTCAGAAAGAGATGTGGGATGTGGAAGAAGATAACTCAGGAACTTTCATTACCCAGCATATCATTCCATCTCTAAGACTTCATAAAAATCCAATTATAAAGATAGCAAATATGAATAAAACTGTCCATCTTAGAGACTCAGGAGCTAGGACATAGGGACGAAGCGAGTGGAGGGAGGAAGTAGAACCTTTCTGTAATAGCGGTTCATCTGTTGTCTCTCGCGGGTCATCTTATGCTGTATCCCGCTCCATCTCTGAGACTCACCTATAGACAGTTTGTAACTATTAATTCTGTAGCTTGCTCTGGGTTCTTCACTATCCATCACTTGTTTCTTTTTTTCTTCATATGTTAAAGTTATCTCTTTTCCCTTCTTGCTTGTATCGCGGTTCATCCGGAAGCCGGTAGGTGGTGAAGTAACTTGTAGATGGAAAAGGCAAAAAGGGAAGGGACATGTCCCCCAAATCCCAAGGCCGCTTTTGGCTGCGGCTCTGCTGCCGAGCGGACCCCAGCGGGTATTTCCTGAGCCGTCTGAACCAAGTCCAGCGAAAAGAGGTTTAGCTAGCATGATGCGCGTAAGGGTTGAGATCCCTTGTGCGTTTGCGAGCCGTAGCGTGGCGATGTATGTTGGGGAGAGGCTGTTGGCGGGGCCACACTGCTTTTTGCAGCAAGTATTGCTGTGCAGCGTTTTAGGAGTCCATGAACGTCGGCAGATGCGAAATGCAACAAACACCTTCCTCAGTAAGTGGACACCTATGTTTGGTCCAAACGAGGTTGATTCTTTGTCAGTATCGCAGCTGTGTCGCTGCCCGGTAAGCAGCAGTATCATTTCAGGGGATGATCAAAAAGCGACCCGATTCTGGAAACTCCTTTGAAGGAAGACATAAATCGCCAAAACGCATGGCCAGGCGTTGAATCTGGTTGCGTGGCCTTGGCATTGCCAGCGTTAGACCGCAGGCTGGAGGTGGATGTGTCAGCCGCCGCAAGTGTGGTTCTCAACGAGGAGCACCGATGCAATCTGCAGAGTGCGTGTGTTTTCACCATGGCGTGCGGCGAGAGGTGTGTGTTGGTTCGAGGTGTGAGCAGAATCAGTCGGAAGGTGTCCAAATGGTGGACCCTCTATCATGAAACCGGATTCTTCGCAAGATGCTTTGCAGGAGACTTGCTTTTTGCTGCCAGCCTTTGGTGGATTGCAGGAGAGCTTCTGGCGGATAGGGCGGGCCGGCGGGCCGGGAGGCGCGAGCGGGGCCATGAGCGCTTGGTGTGGAGCTGGGCGATGGGGCCAGGCCTCATGAAGAGACATCTCTTCGGAGAATGAGACAAAGCCCATTTCGGATGGAGGCCACTTTTTGGTTGTCCCATGGCCCCTTTTTGGTTGAGACCAAACTTGAGTTCACGCTTTTGGCAGCAACTTCTCAAGCCGACGAGCTTTTACGGTAGGCGCCCAGAGCAAGCAGCTCGCCCATGCGGTGGCGGCGCTTGGTATGCTGAAGGCGATGAAACGACCGCTGCGCAGAAACAAGAACAGTGCATGGCCGAAGGGAATTTTCAACAGGCAACATGCAGGGAACAGTATTTGTGTGCTTTGTTGCCTTTTTTTTGACAGTATTATTGTCGTCCGTTTTCAAGGGAGGGCAAATGCAAGCCGCTCATTTTGTGTGGTTCCCGCATGAGACAAACCCATTGGAACCACTCGAAGTGCTTCGGACATGACAGACACCGTGCAGGACCAGGGGGCCGTGCTGCCGTCCAACACGGTGCAGGTGCGTGCAGAGGGTGGGGGGGTGGCGGCAATGAGTGACGCAACTTGAGGGCGGTGACTTTCCCGCGATGCTTCGCAGGGGTGGTTTGTTTCAAAGGAAACCGCAACAAGTTAGGGCAACGGCTGGTGACCTGCTGGTTTCAGTCAACCCCTAGAGCGACGATGCCCAAATTCAACGAGCTTCCATGGTGCGTCCCTGCAGAAGCTTTGGGGGTTCAGGTTTGAGCTGCATGGGAAAGGCTTCGCATTTGTGATCGCTTTGAGATGAGTCTGGGTATAGATTGGGACAGTTTTATTCTTCATGGTTTCAGTTAACCGTCAAACTTTTGAATGGTTTTGTGTGAAAACGAAACGCGACCCTTCTTGGACGGCTTTCAAAGAATCCCAACAAGACACTAAGGAACAAAAGAGGGCAATTCCTGAAAGCAAAACAAGCCAGCCAATTCACGGTTGTTCAACACTCTTGATTTTTGATTGCCCCCCCCCGCTCTGATATAAAAGTCAACAAGCTCTGTCGGAATCATAAATCCTGGGTCCTGTTCATTGTGCGCTTGTGTTCTCCAAGCTTGGTCTGGGCAAATGGGGGACCCTTTTTTTTTCTTCGGCCACAGAGCTCATGGAACGCCCACTCCGATGGACCCAGAAGGCCGTGGCTCAACAAGCCGGTACCCAAAATGGAACCCTGGTAAGTGGAATGGACACGGTTTGCCCCCAGTCTTTTATTTTTGAGCACCCATGTGAGCCACAATCAAAACCCGGTAAAATGGTGAACCCAGAGCCCAGAACCTCAAAACTCCGACGGGCCCAGCAAGAAACCTCCCCGGCCAGCGGGTGCAGCGGCTGCTGGACCTGGATCGCGTGGCGGCGGAGCTCCCGGAGCTGGTGCTCATGTTCCAAGGCGAGAGGGAAGCGGAGAGCGGAGCGTTTGGCTCGTCTTTCTCTCTTTGAGTTGGTGCCCAGGTTTGGTTGGGTTTAACGGATAGCCCAAAGTACAACCAAGCAATTTGGGGGGGGGGGGGGGGGGGAAAATGGTAAAAAGGGGGGGCCCGGGGGGTGGCCTGTTAATGGTTGCCTGTTATGGTTTTTATGTTCATCTCAAATCTGTGTTCCCCCTTATTCGTTTTGAAAAGGGTGTTTTTAGGGAGCTTATTTATCGTTTTCGTTAAGGTAATCAATTGGGTAAATTGTCGCCTTGTTCATTGTTGGGCTGGGGGCCGACATTTTTTTCATTTGAAAGAGTTGGCCCTTTTAGTAGTTATCAAGTTCTGGGGTGTTGGTGGTGTATTTGTTTTGTTAGTATTTTTATCAATAAGTTTCTTTTATTGGTTAAAAGTTCGCTATAATTATAACATATAAGATTTTACATGTTATAATTATGGTTTAGTTATGAATTACACAGGTTCATCAACCATTAGTTTAAACCTTATGTTTTGTACTCCTTCAAAATTCATTCTACTTCTTGCATCTTCCATACGACTGTCTATTGTTTGATGCGCCACTCTCATTACATCAGCTATATTATCTATGGTTATATTATCTACAACATCATCACTACGAAAATAAAAACTAAAAGTACTAAACTCATCGTCTTCATAATAAGTGAAATGATGAAACCTTACAAACATATTTACCTCAACTATTATAACTTCTCCATAACTGTTATCGGTTTCAATGCCATCTAACAAACAATCTAAGTTTTCATTTTCATTAAAAACTATATCTTCAATGCTTTTAATGCTTAAAGGTTTATTTCTTGAAATGTAATACTCAATTACGTGTCTCTTTATATCATCACCACCTACAACAGTTCGACGCTTTGTCTTTCTTTTTGTTTCTGTTCTGTTTATTTTATATTGTTGTTGTATTCTCTTTAATGTCTTAATATGATTATGTTTTATTTTCAAATACTCAGGTTCCCCTAATTTATATGAAATGATACCTTTTAATACATCAGCAGGTAAGCAAGCACAATTCTCAACCATAAAATTATTATCTGACATTTTACCCCCACTCATTTTTCTCTTTATATATAAGGTTTTTTCTCTTTAAGTAGTTTTGGCTAGGGGTTGCTGGTCGGCTGGTCTGGGTTTCAGGTTTAATTTAAATGTCTTAACCTTCTTGTTAGATTATAAAACAATGTTTAATCATATTATAAGATAATAATATTAATAAACAAAAGTTAATTTGACCCGTATTCAATCTCACCAGCGATACAACCACTATAACAACTCATACTATACTCGCAACAATAATGCTCGTATCCTTTTATTAATTGGTCTGTGTAAATTTCAATTAATTCGCTAAGAATATATCTCATATAATAATAGTTATTTCTATATGACCACCAACTGTTTAGGTTTGGAAAGCTAAACCCACAACGTTTAAATTTTTTTAAATCTTCAATGTTAAGACATTTTCTTAAAACTACACAAACTTCATATTCATTATTCTTACAGTATGATTTTAATGCTTGATAATACATTTTTCTATTTTTAAACCGTTCTTTAACTTCTTGTATATCAAATACTCTGTCAATGTTGTTTCTGTAATGTTTTAAACTAAAATGGTATCCTGTTAGTTGTGTAATATCATTATTTTGCATTTGTTTAATAATGTTTAATTGAAGTTCTGCTTTTTCTAGTCCTTCTTCAGGAATGTTTTTATCACTCATAAAATGCTCTTCTCCATCTCTCAAATACCAACAATCAAAACATGTTGGTTTAATATAACCACCTATAAGATTACAAACATCAACAGGTAAAATATTAGCTAGTACCACGACAGACTTACATTTTTTATTTTTACAAGGACAATTATCATAATTAAACAGTGTCATGTTTTTTTTCTCTTACTATATTATATCCATTTTTCTTTAAGTAGTTTTTATTTTATGTTAAGGGGTGGGGGTTTATGTTGATAAAAATATTTTCTATCAATTTAATATAATGGTGAGATTAACAAAAGACCAAATAATCAGCAGCATCTATTACGACTTAGACGAGGGTTTCGGAAGCACACAAGCGACACACAAGAAGGCAAAGGAAGAAGACCCAACAATAACAATAGACGATGTAAAGTCTTTCTTAAAGAAACAACCAAATAAACAAATCAAGAATTATAAAGGCACTAATTCATTCACAGCACCTTTTGCCCGTTATGAATACCAATGCGACATAATGTATATGTCACCACTTGTTAAGGATAAGGACACTCCAATGTATGCGTTGGTGACCATTGACATTTTCAGTAAACTGGCGGATGTAGTGCCAATGTTTAATAGAGATGGGGAGAGTGTTGTTAAGGCGTTACGCCAAAGCTTCAACAAAATGGGTTATTGCATGAGTTGCTATACAGATGACGACGGAGCGTTTGCAACTAAAAATCAAGTTCAGGATTTCTTCAACAGTGAAGGAATAAACCACATCGTCACGAAGACCCACGCAAATGTGGCCGAGCGTTTTATTAGAACGATGAAAAACAAAATTCACGATAGAGTTAGGTTTAACAACATGAAATGGACCGATGCCCTAACGCAAGCATTGAAACAGTATAACAGCACATCTCACTCATCAACAAGGATGACACCGTCTGAAGCACACAAGGACGACAATGAAATAAATGTAAAGGTCAATCTTAAACTACGAGAAAAAAACAAAAGAAAGTATCCCAAAATAGAGGAGAACGACAAGGTAAAAGTGTTCCAAAAGAAAAGGGGCAATTACACCGACAGAAAGGAGTATAACTCTAAATGGTCTAATAACATATTCAATATTGATAAAATTGAATATGATATTATGGGTAATAAAACTTACAAAGTAGCAGGAATAAACAAACCGCTTTTGAGACACGAAATTTTGTTAGTTAATGATTAAACGTATTTCTTGGTGTCTTCTTTATACTTGACTTGATAGTAATCCAGACTTGATTGTTTAGGTTCTTTTATGATTTTTTCATTCAGTTTTTTAACATAAATGTTTCGTTTATTTTTGTATTCGCTACTGTCTCTATCTACTTCTTTTGCTTGATAATTGTTATTGTTATCATATGTAGGTTTAATATTCATGCTCTTTAAGATTTTCAGTATGTTTTCATTTTGCTCCAACACTTTTTCTAATCTTGGAAACAACAACTCTAAACTACTGTCAATGTTCGCTAAATGTTCCTCCATATATACTAAATTATAAAGCTAAACTTTTAAAACTAAATGTTGCAATTATGTTAAATCTACTCTTTAAATACTAACTTATGTCCTTATTAAAACTAACATTAATCAAATGTTCGTTAGTTTCTACTACCATACCACCACCAGTTTTTTTCTTAATATTCAAATATTTATCCGATTTTTTATAAGAAAACATACATGGAACACAACTAACTTTAACGCCATCTTTTTTATCTACCGTCAATTCATTCTTAAAATTCATAACCTGGTTACATTTATCACATTTTATAGAATTACTTTCACCCATTGATTTAATACTTTCCGTTGTTTCTTTTCGTGTTTCAGTATCAGGCGTTGGTCTTTCTTTGCTTTTACTCTTTTTCTTTCTTCCCATCTATATTAATATTTATATTTTTAATATATTGTATCACAAACTTAATTAGTTCTAAAACAAAATAGCATACTTTCTTAAATCTATTATTAGTTATAACAACTTGTTCTATATTTTCTACTTCATTTATTATATCAATATAATCTGAATAACTTCTATCCATATTAAATAATAAGATGAAATAATTATTAAAATAATTATTTGAACTTATTATTTCATGCACGGTAGAATATTCGAAGGGCGCAACAATGGAGTTTTCTTTGCACTGGAAACACAAGCGAGGTTAAAACTAATTCAAACTAATTAGTCTCAATGCTTATGATTGAAGTTGATGAAAGAACCTGTTCTACTACGATAGACCACATCCATATCGTAGCAATGCTTTCATACAATAAATAATATTAAATTATTTTCTAAATGTCTTTAATATTACTTTTATTATGCCTGATGTAAAACCAATTGATGAAATCAAATATGACTTTAAGCAAAGTAAGCACGAGGTCGTCCCTAAATTGCCGATGAGAGCTATGATTGTAGGTCCGTCTGGTTCTGGAAAATCAACTTTACTTGTATCAATGATACTTGATATTTATAGAGGAGCATTTGAAAGAGTTTTTATCTGGTCCCCATCTGTAAATTTGGATAGTATTTGGTTGCCAGTGAAGAAATACATTAAGGAAGGTTTGAAAGTAGATACTGATAAAGAACCGTGTTGGTGGGATGAGTTCAATGTTGAAGATTTAGAAAGAGTTATAGAAACTCAAAATAAAATAATTGAATACCAGAAAAAACAAGGAATGAAGAAGTTATTTAATATTTTGATAATTTTGGATGATGTATCTGATAACCCAGCAATAACAAGAAATAGCAAATTGTTAAATTCTTTATTCTGTAGGGGACGTCATAGTGGAATATCAACGCTTGTCAGTCTTCAGAAATCATCAAGTGTCCCACCAATTATTAGAGTAAATATAAGTCATTTGTTTTATTATAAAGTTAGAAACTTCAAAGAGATAGAAATATTGCAAGATGAATTATCAGCAATTGTTAGAAACGATAATTTACACGAAAGCAAGAAACTAATTTATAAAATATATGAGACCGCCACTGACGAACCGCATAGTTTTTTATATATTGACCTTCTCCAAAAAGACCCTAACCGTACGTTTATGAAAAAGTTCTCTCATTATTTGAAAATAAAAAGTTAGTATTTAAAGATTAAGTATTATAATATCTTATACAATGCCTAAAGTTCGTATGGACTATTCAAATACAATATTCTATAAACTTGTTTGTAATGATTTAAGTATCAATCAAATATACATCGGTCATACATTAAACTTTA